GATCGCATATTCACTTATGAATAATAGTTGGTATATTCATATGTGAATATTGCACAATATATTCATATATGAATATTACAATGTGTTTTCAGAAATATATATAAATTTTATATGTTATTCACATATGAATAACATATAGACTTGCATATTTGTTTTGTGTTTTAATAATCACATATTAATTCAGGTGTGAAACCATATTCATATGTGAATATAACGTGGTAATTTAGTTTATGCATTTCATCAAACAATTGGAGTGCATACAAGTTAGCTTTTTTTAAAATGTGATAAATATGATACTTTGACTACTTAAATCTCACAAAATAGTAGATTAGTAGAGAAATATATGAAAATTTCAAACAAAAAATGATTTGATCTTTTTCTAACCTTAATTTCGATGTTTTATTTAATGAACGATGTTGAATGAATGATACGAATTGAATTTTTTGTTAATTATCGATAATGTTGTTCTAATGATGCTGGGAGTATAATTAATCGTAGATGTTGAAGATATGTTCGTATTCAAACAGAATTGAAGGTTGGATTGAAAGAGCAAAAAACGAATGAATTTCAACTGTTCGTATTTGTGATTGAAGGTTATTATATGATATTTACAAGTTTGCCACCGTGTCCTTTATGTTTAGAAGCTAATTAAATGAGTGGCTGATAATGATTCTTCCATTCGCAACCTTTTTTATTTTCTCAATTGAACCTTATATATATATATATATATATATATATATATATATATATATATATATATATAGATCCGATAAGAAATTTTTTTTTGTAGGAAGGTAAGAAGTTTTTTTTCTACATATTTTTTTGACGAACAAAAAAAAAATGAATCACTAGATGATTTATTTGTAAAATGATTCACAAGAAAAAATTCTCAAAAAAACATCTATATGATTCATTTTTAAATAAATTAAGAAAAAATCCATTTTTATGACAATTTTAGTGAATAACAACAAAATTATTATATAAATGAATCATCGAGATGTTTTTTTGAGAATTTTTTCTTGTGAATCATATTTCAAATGAATCATTTAATGATTCATTTTGTTTTTTCACAAAAAAAATATGTAGAAAAAAAAAAAAATTCTTACCTTTCTACCAAAAATTTCCTTCTTATTTGATCTTGACTATATATATATATATATATATATATATATATATATATATATATATATATATATATATATATATATATATATATATATAACATGGATGGTTGATTGTGACGCCGATAATGGTGATGTACTTACTTGGTCATCGGTGGTGGCTGCAATAAGGCTACGGGTCAAGTTTTTAAGTTATAGATAGTTTAAGGGCTTGTTTTTACCTTTTTCGCGATATCGCAAACTATCCTTATTTTGATTTTGATAAAAGAATATACAATTCATTATAATATATTCTTCGTTTAGGGCTTGTTTTTACCTTTGCACTTTGCAATATCGCAAAAATATAAAACTAAAAACTAAGGAAAAACATAAACTGCAAGAACGGGTTAATTGCTTTCCCAATTCCGGCGTGTAGGTCAGTACTATTCGCTTCCGGCTGCCCATTTTGCATCTTTGATTTCAGACTCTATGATCCGCTCTCAACATTAGGTTATTTTTATCTATGCTCTTGTTGTCGTGAATCTTGATTCGATCTGTTGTCCCTGTTTAATTTAACTGTTACAGATCGGGGGTATATTTGATAATTTGATCATTAGAAAAAAAAATGGTGAGAGGTTTGTTGAACAAGCTCGCAACTAAATCGATCAATGTTGCCGGAAAATGGCAACAGCAGCAGCTCCGTCGCCTCAACATCCATGAGTATCAGGTTGTAGTCATTCTCCCTCCACCTGCAGTCTTATAAGTTCTACGAATACTATTTAGATGCGTGTTGTTTATTTATGAATATCATCTCGGTTCTGTTTTGATAGCATCACAGACTGGTTAATCCATCCGTTGAATATGGAAGAAGGGAAAAGAAGAACGAGATTTAGAACTTTGACTTTAATTTGGTCATACTATAGTTATTATATTGTTTGAATTCTGACAAAGAACGCTGCATTGCTATTACAAAATAAGGGCTTCAATCCTTAATTTTTGCAGTATTGAGAGTGAAATGAATCTACATCATAAAACCATCATTAATCAACTCTATGATGAAGTGATATTCTAGCTAAATCTGTTTTTGTCCTCTATGGAACACCATAATCTTTGCAAAATTAATACCATTCTTAATATCACATAAAGAACACTATATCTATATGCATGTTTTTGACATCATAAAGATTGAATTTCCCTTGATGTTTTTCTTCTAGGAGTAACTTAAATATACCTTCCTTTGATGATCATACCAAGTATCAGCTTTGCATCACCCAAGGAATTTTGTAGACATTTTTCTCTTTCATTTTGTACACATCCATCAATTTAATTAGTTGATCTCTATCATATTTGATCCTGCAATGAACATACAACAATATGATATAGGAAGAACCAAATTTCTTCGAGTTGCAACAATCATCCATGCCACATCTCTTCTTCAGAAAGTTGTGAAGTTTCATGTACCACTGTTTTGGTGCTTGCTTCAACCCATCCAAACTTTTCTTTAACTTGCATATCATGTTTTCTTCTCCATCTATCTTTGGTTGTGCCATGTAGATGTCCTTTTTAAGATCACCATGTAAGAATTTTGGCTTGACATCCTGTTGCTCTCTAGATACAATACCCAATACTAGCTTCAGCTTGATTGTAGTGATTTTCACAAAGTGGAGAGAACATCCCATTATATTTATAGTTGACTGACTCTCTGTTCTGTTGAAATCCTTTGACCCTGAACACCCACTTATATTTAGTCATTGACTCATATGCATTCTGAAATCAGGGAGCTGAACTGATGGGCAAATATGGTATTAATGTTCCAAAAGGTGTTGCTGTTTCTTCTGTTGAGGAAGTTCGAAAGGCCATACAAACAACATTTCCCAATGAAAAGGAGGTAAGTTTTCACACAAATTCCTTTTTTGTGGGTTTATATAAACAGCATTAATTTCTTTTTATTCAGTTGGTGGTTAAGAGCCAAATTCTTGCTGGTGGACGAGGTCTAGGAAAGTTCACAAATGGTCTTCAGGGTGGAGTTCACATTGTCAAAATTGACCAGGCTGAAGAGATAGCTGGTATGAGTTTTACTACTTTTTAATACAAAAAAAAAAAAAAATGTAATCTCTGTTTTATTGTTCCCATAGGAAAGATGCTTGGGCAGACTCTTGTCACTAAACAAACTGGCCCCCAAGGCAAAGTTGTCAGCAAGGTTTGCTTGCACCTTTATTAAATTGTTATCTGCTTTATGAAATATTTTAAAAAAAAAAAATTGTATGAAAAGTTATTAAACCTTATTCTTTATTTTTGCAGGTTTATTTATGTGAAAAAGTGTCACTTGTGAATGAAATGTACTTTGCAATCACGCTTGATCGTACAACTGCTGGTCCTGTAAGTTGTTGAAATTAAAAATAAAAAAAATAAATAAAAAAAAAAAAATCTTTATTTAAAATTAAATCTTGAATCTTGTGTTGTTTAGCTTATCATTGCATGCCGAGAGGGAGGAACCAGCATTGAAGACCTTGCAGAGAAATTCCCCGATATGATCATTAAAGTATGTCTTTATATCCTTAGGCATTGTTGGATGCAAAATGACAAATTTAACCTTTTCACACACAGGTACCTATTGATGTTTTCAAAGGAATTACAGATGAAGATGCTGCCAAGGTTGTAGATGGTCTTGCTCCTAAGGTGGCTGACAGAGATGCTTCAATAGAACAGGTGAAGAAGCTGTACAACCTTTTCCGTGAATCCGATTGCACACAGTTGGAGGTGAGAATTAATTAAATTTTTTTTTTTATTAAACTTGATAAATTTGGTTTTTTAAGTTGAAACTTGGCTCTTCAGATCAATCCAATTGCAGAGACTTCTGATAACAAGCTGGTAGCTGCTGATGCGAAGCTAAACTTTGATGATAACGCGGCTTACCGTCAAAAAGACATATTTGCCCTTCGTGATCCGACACAGGAGGATCCTCGTGAGGTTGCAGCTGCAAAAGCGGATTTGAATTATATTGGTTTGGATGGAGAAATTGGATGCATGGTGAATGGTGCTGGATTGGCAATGGCAACCATGGATATCATAAAGTTACATGGAGGCACCCCTGCCAATTTTCTTGATGTAGGTGGGAATGCTTCCGAAGGACAGGTGGTTGAAGCATTCAAGATCTTGACATCAGATGAGAAAGTCAAAGCAATATTGGTCAACATTTTTGGAGGAATAATGAAATGCGATGTCATAGCCAGTGGAATCGTTAATGCTGCTAAACATGTCAGTATAGTATCCATCTATGAGAATTGTATCATTTTGTAGCAGTGGAAAGATTTGATGTAATTAAATTAATTTTTTTTTTTCAGGTTTCATTGAAGGTGCCGGTTGTAGTTCGTCTTGAAGGCACAAATGTTGATCAAGGGAAGAGAATTCTCAAGGTATATTTTTTTGTGATTTATTCTTAGAAAAGTTGGAAGAATATTTAAAAAAAAAAAATGATTTATAATTATAATACAGGAAAGCGGGATGGCATTGATTACAGCAGAGGATCTTGACGATGCAGCTGAAAAGGCGGTTAAAGCACTCAGATCATCATAAAATATATAATATACAACCCAAACCAAATTTGAATTTGTGTGGAGATGGGTTTCTACTCTACTTTCTAGTTTCTAAAATAAATACAGCAGGCATATTGGTTGGAAATGTAATCAAAATTTTCATTTGTTAGAATCACTTCTTTTCACAACATGGTAACAAATGTTTCAACCATTGGTTAATTGAAAAGCTAAACCATTCTGTTTCTTTTTTCACGTAAGTTATGTGTCTACAAATATTTGATTAGTGCCAACGCCATATGAACATAGGGTCACACATGGACAATCAGTGGTATTACAACGATAGCAGCACACCCTGTGAATCCTATTATAATGGGGTAAATGTTGTCAGTATTGTGCTTCTATCGAGGGAGGTTAGAGCGACTGTCACATAGATGAGCAGAGGCATGTCCAAAGCCTTGAACCTGTGAATGAGGCATACATGGGAAGAGAAAATCAAAGTGAGTGTAAAGCCATATAGAAGAGTAAATCATAACAAAAGCATATATAAATCGCAAAATATGCTAATGATTAGCAGACAATGAGTAGTAAGTTAATACGAATAGTAAAACATATACAAGAGAAAAAAATCAGAATATAAGCATATGAGCAGGAAACAATAAGGTTCAGAAAACAAAACATACAGTGAGGCTAGGCTACTCATCTACCCTGATATTGATCCGCAACACCTCTCTATTTGAGGTCATGTTTTAGGAATAAGCAAACTCTTTCATGTCTATCCTGACAATCCTCACACTACATTCCTACATCTGGCTAGCCAGCTAGTACGTCATGTCCTCTTATCATCAATCATCATTGATGTCTTCTCTAGACATGTCCATAAAACCTCAATTTCCATTCCCTTAATCTTGTTGGCCCGTGTAACTCCGAAAAATTCTTTTAGCCATATTTGGCATCCCTATCTAGCAAAGTTCTGCTGCAAATCCATCTCAACATCCTTCTTCCGGTCTAAACAATCGGGTAATTAGATAACCCAAATAAGATTTATATATTCTTATTTTATTGTATTGTAAGTGTTGCGGTATAGATAACAAACTATTCTATAAATGTCATAGAATTATACAGGTTGCTCATTCGCCCACTACGACTTCCTCGATTTGCCACGAGAGAGGAACGGCTTCCCATAGGCGATAAGCTAATCGATCGCGTGGGCACCTTGTTTGAAACCCTCATGATATGATTTGAACCCGGGTCATCTATGATTTGAATGGCTTCCCAACAAGGGATTGTATACAAATTCTGTGTCCCAACAAATGACTATTGGCTAATATTTCAGATCAGGGCAAAACAAATGTTGGATCCATCTACGAACAGTTTTTCCGATATATAATTAAAAAAATAATAATAAGTATCAAAATAGTAATATGATTCTTTTAAATAAAAAAAGACGTAGATGTCTGCAAGTATTTAAATACACTTTGGGTTGAGCCTATTTCCATCCGTCTCATTTTTAGCCAATTTTTTTGCATCTTGCCCCGTCCTAATTAAATATAACACTAAGGTTGCCAAATAGTAGTTGATTGATTCACACGTGGTATCAAATCTGAATATGACCAAGTCAAAGCCACCTCTTACCAAATAAAGTAAGAGGCATATCAAACAACCCACCAGTCAAACAGCCTCCACAATCCCATACCATACATATGAAATTGAAAATGTGGACCCAAAAGGATTTAGTGGCTTGCTAAAAACATAAATAAGTGTTGCAAGAATGAATGAATACATATTCTATTTACATGAACTTTATCATGAACGGGAGGTTTGGATGTAGTAAGTATATTGGCATAAAAATGCCTATGACAATTTAGTCTAACCCCCTACCTAGTGAGATAAATAATTAACAGAAAATATAGACCTTGAACCTATGAATGATGTATAAGCAATTGGTTTAGGCCATGTAATTATTCGCCTAATCCCACCCCCACCTAGCCTTTCATATCTGTCTGCAAGCCTGCTACAACAATCAATGGCTCGTTGTTGTCCCAATAATGACAACTCACCTTCATTATGTAATTTTGACCCTTGTAACAACAATCTCGTCTCTCGTCTCCTCAACACATCACTCCTTTCTTCATACCTCACCTAAAACAGACAGGGGAATAGATATAATAGTTTTTATTTATTTATTTATAAAAACATAAGCTGTAACAATTTATGTATCCCTTCTTTTAATAGTTTAGGGAGTGAATAGAATACATTTACTGTTTATTACAGGAAAGGGAAAATGGATGGAGTTACAAATGTTAGACAGAGGGTGCAGAAAGATCTTCCTCTACCTCATCATCTTTGCATCGCTTCAGAACATGGAGCTGACCACGCAAGTGCATAATCTGCATAAATCATATTTTTAAATTATTTTATTACATAACAAAGAAAAGCACAAACAAAAAGAGAAGATAAGCTATGACTGAGTTTGTACTTTGTAGTACCTCTTCTTGAAGCAAAACTGGAAGGGTTTCTGTAGAAACAAGGCCATTGATTTCATGCAAGAGGGTTTCATCTTTGATACCAGACCAGGTGTGTGGTGGCAAAGCCAGTAAAAGTGTGGTGAGGACATCATTGCTGGCTGGATGCATTCCAATGGAGGGGATCAACATATCCACATGCTGTTCATTCATCCCATTCATCACCTTTCCAGACACTACTGTAACACCTATGTCTCCTCCATTTGATTTCAGACAATGTACTTTTGTTTCCCCACAACAAAATCCATTAGAAGAAGACTCACTCTTTCCTTCCAAAATCCCTGCTCCCTGGCAACAAACACTTGCTGCAATATCGTTCAAACTGCTCTCTTTACCCAAACACAGTGGCCCATTGCAACCTGATTTTTCAGTCAACAGAAATTCGGTCACATGTCTGTATAGTTCACTCTCCTGCACTTGTTTCAATATCTCCCCCTACATGTTGAAAAGTTGCTGATTATTTAATCTGGATAACATTTAATGGGGAAGAAAAGGAAGAAAGATACCTTGATGGCAAGTCTTTCTTGTTCTTCTGGACTTAGACTTTGATCGCCTTCCTCTGTTCTCCGAACTTCTGCAACCCACTTGATGAATTCAAGAAACTTTGATGGAAGAGAATTGAAGACAATGGAGAGAACATCCTTCACGTCTTTCACATTTCTAGAACCTAATAATACTGGAACATCTTCCATCAAATACTTTGCAATATTCACCCAACTCTCATGCTTGCAGCTCTGGAAACAAACATTATTGACAATCTCACATGAAAATAAAAATAAAACCCAACAAATTATTCTTGATTGTACAAAGAGATCAACTGATTGTCTTTGAATCACAGGTTTAGCTTACCAGGGTATAAAGTAGTGCTGGTGGCCGTTGAAGCCTGGATATTAGCATGAAACTGAAGAAAAGATGGAAAATAAATCAATCTATTTGAGGGTAGAATGAAATTCGAGAGGACAAAAAAAAAAAAAAAAAAAAATTACCCTCTGCGAAATCCACTAGCATCATCTAATGTATCCATGGCTTCCCAGAGTAGTTTAAGTGGGACCCAATGAGGAGGATACTTGAAGCGAGCAACATCTAAAATCAATGCCATGTCCCTTCCAGCATGATAACCACCAATAGGAGAAAAGTGGCCACTACCTGTCTGTAACAGAAAAACAACACAGAGCACTATAATAAGCTCTCCTTTGATCACCAAACCACAGACATCACATCACCTCCAAATGGCTTAAAACTTACCTGTTTAAAAGTTGCTCTGTTATATGATGAGATCACATGACAATCATCAGAAGTAGAACATGCAATCACATGCTTACGAAATTCGTCAATGTTACTTTGATTTGTGCGAAAAGCTTCAACTTTTGCTCCAGCACAATGAGCCAAGCACACAACCTTCCCAAATGAAATGCCTTTGGCTTTAACCTTTTCCAAAGGCTCGCAACAGTCAAGCATGGATTCATCAAACCACCTCCAGGGACCTGAAAACAATCGACGGCTTATGTAATCATGATGTTAAAAGTTAAAACCTACTGGTAAATCTCATTGTAAGGGATTGTGAAAGATACCTTTCCATTTTCTACCCGGATCAATAGAAAGTGCATTCAGGACCATGGCTAGGGTAGCTAATCCACAATAGGCAGGTTCCGATTGTGTTTGGAAGTAAGAGATCAGTTTAAAGAAGCCTTCCATGGTTCCACCTTGAGTAGCTTCCATGAACAATTGCTGCAAATTCAGAACATATACATTACTACGTTGCAAGAAGCAGATAAAAACTTTGGTACAATTCCCTCAACTACAGATTAAATCGATACGGATGTTGTTGCAGATTTAACACATATACACATATTTAGAGCATCATTTTTTTAATAAAAAGACAGCATTTTTTATTACTAAACCCACAAATCGATTCCGCGTCAGTGATATAACAAAATCAAATTTTAACAAAACCTAATCCTAGTAAAACCAACCATGATTAGACAATTACTAAAATCAAGAAAAACAAAACTAATTTCAAACACATCGAGATTCTGTGCAAAGAACAGACCTTCCCTTCAGAAGAAGCGAAATCAATAGCAGGAGGAGATGGAAGAACTCTTCTGTATATACTTGCCATCGCCATCGCAATTAAAATTTAGAGATGAACTGGATTGAATTCTACTTTCCTGCGTTTCTAGGGTTCGTTGGAACAAAAGAACCCGCGGAAGCAAACGGTTTCAAAGTAACACAGCGTTGTGTGTACTGAAGGTCAACTGGATTGCCGACTTGGCGTGTCTTTAGACTACCCCTATTGGGGTTTATTGCGAGACCATTGTGAGAAAAGTAACATTCATCGTGAGAAAAGTAACATTAAAAAAAATAAGAATCATGTGATCTTTAAAGTTGTAAATTCTAATAATTTTATTACAAAAACTATAAAAATTATTCCTTTTATCTTTTTATTTTTCTAAATTATTATAATATACATTAAATTTATTACAAAAACTATAAAAATTATTCTAATAATTTTATTTTTTACCTATTAAACAAATAAACTATAACATTCATATGGCTTGTTAAATATATCTTTAAACTTTGTTAAAATAGGTTGTTGATCAATAGTAAAATATTAAATTTGGTTAATAGTATTTGTAACACCAAGTTTCAATAAATAATTTTTTTGTGTTTTTATGGTAATTAAAGACTTCAATTGTGGATTTTAGGGTGGCCACGATGTTGTAGGGGAAACACCACGATGTGGTGCTGGCTGAGAAGGGAACATGCGTCTTTTGGACGCCACAACGTGGTAGGTCCATGTCATAACATGGCGACGTCCAGCATGAAAACCTTAATTTTTCGGGTCTTAAGTCATATTTAAGGGATGTGATAATGGCTAGGGTTTGTTCACTCTCAGCCTCTATCACCTCCCTTTCGACCTAAAGTAACCCTAGCCTCCATTATTGACCTCTTGAAGCTTTTGGTGGTTTTTGGTGGTATTGAAGAAGAAGATCTTGGTGCTTAGATCCAGCAAGCAACTCTTGTCATCTATTTCTTGTATACATTATGGATTTTTGTAAGTCCTCAAGTTTCTACATTTATGTGTTATCCTTCTAGAACTAAGCTTTTATGCATTTTTCTTCATGTTTAAAGTGGTTTAAGTGGATGGATTCCATAAAGTTGGCAACTTTATGGATCCTTAAGGCCCCTTTGAGGTTTCATGTTTTAGATTTAGAGTTTTATAGAGATTTGGTCCCTATGCATGCGATTTTGATCTTATTTTTTCCATCTTTGGCCTAACTAAAGTTTAAGGCATGTATTGGACATGCATATCCATAAAGAAATGGTTTTTATGAGATAATTAGGGGTAAAGAAGCCTTCTGGGAGATATGAATGACTAGCTTAATGGATTAAGGGCTTAATCTATTAAGTTGTTCATGAGTAGTTCCGACGACGTGACAACATGCTCACCACGTCGTGGTGAGGGGGTTTCTCGCAACTGTTTATCGTGAGGCTGCCATGACATGGTCGCCAACTGAGTTGGTTTTTGACTAAGTTGACTTGTGTTCAACCGGAGGGTTTTAGGCTGTAGATTGAGGATATACCTCTGATTGCTGTATAGGTGGCTCATAATACTCATATTTGCTTTGTGAGAGTTATGTTGTTGTCTGCTAGCCTGCGAGGTGAGCTTTATCACTATACTTTGTATTGTAGTATGTATCCTTTGTTTGTAGGATGTGGATATTTTGTAGTGGTCTGTTAGATTGGTATATCTGTTATGATTACATGGGTTACTGATTATTGTTTGTTTATTGGTTTGTTTGCATACGTTGACATATTATGGTTGGGTTGTGGCGATCATACTCTAGTCTATGTTGTAGGCCAAGACATCCAAGCGATCTAGTTGATACTATATACCCAAGGAGAGCGGTCCATCCGCGTGCTGTAGGCTCATGTGAACGGTCCAACTATATGTAGTAGGCTCAAGAGAGCGGTCCAGATGTATTATAGGCCTTAGGAGGCTACCCAGTCAAACAGTAAACTCACGTGTGCATGCATTGTATATGTGTATTGTTGTGTGGGGTAATTTGGAAAACTCACTGAGCTTTGGCTTACAATTGTAGATTTAAATGTTTTAGATACTTCAGAGGGTCGGGGGAAGACAAATGCTTGATTGTACACTTCATCTAGTGGTTGACATGTTTTTGAGAGATACTATGTTTTGAGACTCTCATTTTATGATATGGTTGTGAAACAATATATTTATGACTTATGTTATATGGGAAATGGTTTATCCGCTTTTTGAAATAAAATCGGTAACAAGGCAAAAAGCTCACTTATCGAAATAAAGACGGTAACCACCTATCGGGAATAGTAACTCGTTAACATCACACGGAGGATGGGTGACTACCCCCTTGTATAACAAGTAATGACATATTAATGTGTGACATTCTATACCCAACTGCACATTGACTCACTGACCAAAACATGACACCCTAAAAAGCGTTGCTCGGGTTGGAGTAGGCTACTTGGCCATTATTTCCCTACTTAATTCAGCTTTGTAGGTGTAGTGACAACCACTTCATATATATATTGTAGTTACAACCACCTCGTATATATCCTCATGCTACAAAAAAAATTAGCATATTATTTAGGATTTTACACTGTTCTTTGTGTTCCAGACAAGTTCTATAGATTACATACTCGTTCTTCGCATTCTAGAGTGTTTCGGAAGAGGTTTGTCTAGAGTTGTACTTATACTAATTGTTAGTAAATACTAATATTAATCATACAAAAACCCTAAGTGCCACCAAAATGTAGTTGACACAAATAATTTCATATAAAAAACTATTACCAACAAATAAAAAATTCTAATCAGATGCCACATATCTATGAAAGACACATACTCACAGATGTTCAACCTCTCATCTTTTGATAATCCTTTAGTCTGAAATGCGTGATCTTGCAAGTCTGAAACACCGTTTGGAAAAGGTGTAATAAAAAATGCATGTTCTAGAGTGAGTGTCTGAAATGATAAATAGGGGACCATAGTAACAACATGTCGGATGAACAATATGGGTGACCTGATTAAAAGGATTAGTAAAATCAATTTTCATATTTTTGTTATCTTTTGCTGGAAAGATATCATGACAATATTAACAATCAAATTTGAACCAAAACTTTCAATAAAGACAAACAAAGCAACAATATTATATTATTTATGGGTATGTATAACGATGAAATTGAAATAAGACACAAGAAGATGACTTCCAAACCGAATAAACCATCGAATTTATCATAGATTCATATTACAACAATAAAATTTGACCCCAAATCCCTGAAGAACACAAAAAAATGACCCTCAAAGAATCAATCTCTCATGGACATTACATGAAGTTGAAGTGCATACTTAGATAGGAAAAAGAGGGGAACCGGAAATGAAACACAAATATTACTAAATCTTGGAATCTTCGACTACCCCAAAAGTGACCCCACATCTACTTGTTCACAAACTTAGTTTCAAGGGTGTTTTTGTAATTAGCCAACGCAGAAAAGCAAAAGGACTATGATACCCTTCAAAGTTCGAAGTGCCCTTATTTCCTCCCACTTTCCTTTGCTGTTGGATATGATCCTTATCTAGTTTCGGTTTAAAGATCGGAAGGCGGTTCACTGCAGGAAGATACGGTATCCTGAGATTGTGTTGATTTCACCGACGCATCATCATCCTTTGGTTTCTTCCGTCGAGTCTTCTTGGGGATGTCCGGCAACCTTGATGACTCCTCCCCAGCTTTGTCCTTTGACCTTCGAATTCTGTGTCTCCTCGTATGTTTTGTAGTCGATGATGATGATGCCGAATCAGAATCAGAATCTATTGACCGATGATGACGGTGTCTATGTGCTTTTGGCTTCTCCGGAATACTTAGTTCCTCGCTTCGAGAAATCCTATGGTTGTTTGTACCTATATATTAATCACACATCCATCCATCCATCCACTAATAAAATCACATCATCAAGCCTCAAACAATTAACTGTTTCTATATAAGCTTTAGAATTCGAAAACATCGTCACCCACCTTTTTTAACATGAGGCCTTTCTTCCAGTGGTCCTGACTGACTTTTCCCGCCATCAAACTCCTTCATCTGCATATATATTATGCATCCCCACACCAAAAGAAATCAAAAAAAAAACCGATTGTCTGTGTATACGTATATATACATATATGTATTAAGTATGTAACGATTGATGAAAGAGATGAATTCTGAATACCCACCCAGCTGGGAGATTCCATGGCGGGTCCATCGGCACCAATATGAGCAACATGCTTCACGTCCGTGGGCATACCGATCTGTATTTCTTCTTCTTTTTCTCCTTCATCTGATCATCCAAAGAGAAGAATTAATGCATACATACAGAAATATAACTGAATGGATTAAGAGAGGGTAAAAAAAAGTATGTACCGAAAATATTTGAGATGTTTTTGAGGCCTTTGAAAAAGCCTTTGACCTTGGTACCCATCGTCAAAGAATCAGTATGCTCCGCCGGACAATGAATGGCCGGGGTCAGTTGACCCCGTAATATAAAGTAACAACTCTAAAGAGAATTAATTAATTCCAACCAAACGGATTGATCAACCAGAAGACATCGGGTGGAGGGATACGGAGAAATAGATATAATAGATGAAACAGGAATGAAGAAAGACGTATCCTGTATCATGTATGTGAGGAAGAGAGATAATAGGAGGAATTAACATGGTGATCACCATAATTAAAGAGATTAAACCACCACCTTTGATTTCAGTTTCAGTTTTTACCAATTCAAACTACTTGCTAAATATAAACCAGCGGTGTCGAATTACTTATTAGCGTCTTCTCAACGGTTTGACTTGTACTTGATGCATTACAAGATGCACCTTCTATTTAGGGTAACTAGTCCCACCAATGTCTTTCATTCCTTCTTCCATCCAGAAAATCATTATCATCACCTCGGAGTTGGTTTTTACTAATACGAACTAATATTAAAAAGGCCCTTTAACACAAGTACATTCGACGTTTAAACCTTCTTTTACCAAAAATCTAACATACTATGCCCATCGGACCAACATTGTTTTCACTCTCAACCTTAAGTAACATTAAAAAACATTCTTTCAAGTTTTATTAGAAAACTACTGTTTATTTTATGAAATAAAACAACGATTGCTCTTCTGACTTCACATGTATATGTTATGCCAAACATACAAAAATAAATATTCATCAGGGCATATTTTTAAAATTTTACGAACCTAAAATAGTTCCAGAGATTTGGTACTTGCAACGAAAACAAAAGCTAAAATCTTGCAATAAGGTTTCTTTTAATAAAATACATTGAGAGAAAAGGCAAAAAAAACCCACAAAGCTTTCTAAGCAACCAACAATGGCTTCCTCATACGTTCAACAAAATCTTTTGATAATTAGAACAAAATCAAGATAATTAGGCAGTGGTTTCCTTCTTAAGCTTTGCTAACTCTTGCCTTACAACTCCAGCTTTCTGCAAGATCACAATTACAACACTTTCAATGAGTAAAATTGTTTGAACTATAAAACATCAGGTCATAAATAGACATGTAGACCAAAATAATTAAATGTGAAAAATACATGTTAAATTACCTTTATCTTTGCCAACATGATCTTAAACCTGTCAAAATCATTAAGTGAGGCTCTCTTCTTCTGGACAATAAGTTTTCTTCCCCAAGAACTGCTCTCCCACTTGTTCTTAACATCTGTAAATAATTAATACACAAGATCATCTCACAAGTCAAAACAAGAAAAAGCAAAACAAACAAATCGATAACTTACCAGCAGCCTCTAAAGCAGCAACAAGAGTTTTCTTCTTTGGGACTCTGTTGATGTCAATTTTAATGTCTGTGAGAGTTAGTCTCTTGAAGTTCATTTGACCCCTAACCATGTCAGGTGCATCCACAAGAGCCTATCAATCAAAAATTCCAATATAAGTACATAATACATATAACTAGAAAGTACATTCTAAAAACTTCTGAAAGTACATTATAGGCTCAGATTTCTGCTGTTTTAGCCAAGTTATAATTTTTAAAAGAACAGCATAACATGGTACGACGATTATGTGGCACTCAGAGATCATTGTTATAAGGCTGACGTTTTACGAAATCGAAGATGAAGAAAACAACTAACAACACTCCTAGACTTCATTCATTTTAAATCCAATCGGCTAGTACAGCTATACAATCTTGTTTTGAATAAAGCAGATTTACATGTTCAAATACATCGCCTAGCGATAATGTATCAGCGGATAATAGCAATCAAATCAGACCAAATATATCAAATTCATAGCTAGAAAATCAACGCAAAAAGTAAATACCCTGTTTTGATCAATGACATCGACGATAACAACGAGCCTTCCATAATCCTTTCCGTAGTTGACAAGGGCGATTCTTCCTATCTCAACGTACCTCTTGAACGGCTACAAAGACCAAAAATTGCATAGACATTTGTTAAGGTACACGTTACACATTAGTATATACGTAAAGGGAGTGGAAATTAAGGTTTCCTTATACCATTTTGCAGTTCTGGATGTGGAGCGCCGAGAAGAAGGGTTGAGGCTGTAGTGGTGCAGATAGTGGAAGTTAGGGTTTGCAACACTGGAGGCTTTTATAGTAAAGGTATCAGTTGGGCTTAGCTTTTACGTTGAAATTCAACTTGGGCTGCTATCAAGTCTCATTCTCGACTTTCGAGTCTGAGTCTCTAGTTGGGCTGCTATCAACACGGGAGGCTTTTATAGTAAAGGTATCAGTTGGGCTGCTATCAAGTCTCACTCTCGAGTCTCAATTCCATAAGTTTTTGTTTGTGATTGGAAATTAAAATCAAGAATTGTATATTTTCTTACTTTATTAATGTCTTTTAAAATATATATATATATATATATATATATATATATATATATATATATATATAACTTTATTCCGACTTATGGACAGTAAATTCACAAGTCTACTTGGGTTTTTGTAGTTGCAACTTATTATGCACAGTAATCAACTTGTTAACAGTGACGGTCTCTTTTGGCTAATCTACTTCTTCCACAATAGGATAATAGGTGTCTTCTTTCCCTTTCTCTCTAATCAGACTTGTAGTGTCTATAGAAGGTCTAAGGGTGTGTTTAGTTATGGAAAAATCGATCATTTTCAGGAAATAAAATCCAAAAAAAAAAAAGAATTTTGAAAACATGTTTAGTTCAACAAATTTTTTTTTTAATTTTTACAGTTTCGTGTTCTAAAATTACAAAGAAGTTAGAAAATTTTAGAAAATCGATGATCATTGTATAAACACAGTCACACCCATCCCACCTCACCCATCTCTACATACAATCATCCCACCACACCCATACCCACTCACACCCAACCACTCTCACTCCCAAGCCCCACCCCTATAAACATCCACACCTACTCACCACTGCTACCGCTGTGACACCCAGAATCTAAAAGATCAGTTGTGGAATAAATCCCCCGTTCTAAGGACTAACTCGTTGAGTTAATGGTGGGGAACTCGACGTGTTGGAGGCTTTTGGGACACGCGCTTTTATGGACCAACTCAGCGATTTGGTGAAGGAAACTCAACGAGTTGGATGTTGTTTGAGAAACCCTAATTTTAGGGTTTTGCACCCTATTTAAACACCTTAAGTTCCATGTGTTGGCCTCATTCCCAGCCTCCATAACCCCTAACCCTAATCTTGAACCTTTAGAGCCTCCTTGAGTGTTGTGAGCTCATTGTGGGTGAGTTTTGGTGTGTTTAAAGCTCGTTGAAGGAATAGAAGCTTGGTGCAAGGTGGTGGTTCAAGTAGGAGCTTTCAGATCTTGATTCTTTGCTCTATTCCCAACACATTTCAGGTATAAAGTTCTAACCTTGCTTAAGATTTGCTTAAATCTCTTCTTGGGTTAAGATTATATGCTTTTAGCCATGAATGGGTGGTTGTTGTGGAATTAGAAGTCCCAAGTGATTATTCTTTCAAATCTAAGGTCTACATGAGCTCTTTTGGCATATAGGTGCCAACTTTATGGGTTTAAGGGCTTCATGCATCCATTAAGTCTTTCATCTAGCCCTTTTTAAGCGTTTGAGCTCCTTACAGTCATGCTTAAGCGTAAAGATGGAAACTTTAGGTGGTCATCTAGCCTCATGGGGTCATATCTACATTTTGGGGTATTGTATTTGATGATTAAGTGCTTAATGGTTAAGACCGCACTCTTTTAAGTCTAGGGTTTGGGTTTGGACCCCTTTCGGTGGTTCCTAGGTGTAAAGTTGGAAACTTTACCCTTCTCGATCTCATATTGGTCGAGATCTGAGTTGTGGAGTCACTGGAGTCGATAATGTTGACTTAATGTATTAAGATGTGAGTTTCTGGCGAACTTGGCGAGTTTATGGATAAACTCGACGAGTTGGATCGGATTTTCCCGACTTCGCGGATTGTTAGATGGGCTCGAAGAGTTGAAGGATAAACTATACGAGTTGGGGCAACTCAGGCTGTTGACTTTAACTTTTGACCTTAGCCTTTGACCATGATATTCTAAGGGAGTGTTTGAGGTAATCAGTTTTATAATCAAGAAAATTATGGGCTTAGGATAAGACCGCTATGGGATTGGGGCCAATTTGAAAAACTAGTCCATTAGTGGGCCTTTATGGATATTTTTGGTTTTGGGCTTCAGTTTTGGGTCATGTTGGGATTAGGGGTAAAATGGTTAATTTACCGCAAGTATAGTTGGTGGGCCTTGGGATAGATTCCAATTGCTAATTGGGTGTCATTTTGATATGATAGTTCGGAGGTGTCGTCAGGCCAGCAGCTGGGGATTTCTTTCAATGTGTTTTTGTATTTGAGGTGAGTCCCTTCACTGTTCTATGGGTCGAAAGCACCAATGCCGACCCATTTGATTTGTGTATTGTAGGAAGAGTCGTTGTGTGTGACGCCCCGATCCTGGTAATCTTGTATTTTGGTCCCTTATATATTTGGTTATTGCTTTTGGCCTTGTTTTGCAAAATTAGAATGTGAGGAGGGGTCATTTCTTCCATTTTCGGATTTTGGAGGCGGAGCTCGAACGCAGGGGTGCTCCTTTGGGGAACGCAATGCATTCACGTGTATAGCTTAAACCCTAATTTTTAGGGTTTGAGACTTATTTAAACACCTCAAGTCCCATGTGCTGGCCTCACTCTCTACCTTCATAGCCTTCTAACCCAACTGTCAAACCATAGATCCTCCAAGAGTGTTATGAGTCCATTGAGTGTGTTTTGGTGTGTGTTTGAAGCTCATCCAAGGAGAGGACGCTTAGTGCAAGGTGGTGATTCAAAAAGGAGCTCATAGATCTCGATTTTATGATTCATTTCCAACTCATTTGAGATATAAAGCTATAATCTTGCTCATGAAGAGCTGAGATTTAGGTTCTCATGGATATTTGTCCCTTTTTGGTCCCATAGTTGAGATCGTGTTGTTGTGATCACTTTTGAGGCTTTGAGTTGCTCCTTTTAGCGTTTTTGAGGGTTTAGTTCATAAAGTTTGCGTCTTTAGAGTTGTATACACCCCATGCATGAGATTAAGCCCTCTTACGAGAGGTGAATGCTATATTGTGAAGTTGGAACCTTTTGGGGCATGCAAAGTGACCGAGTCAATGACTTTATGGTCCTATATGCTCTTTAGAACTTAGATCCATGTTTTGGTCGAGTGGCTTTAAGCATTAAGTGCTTAATAAGCCTTTTTGGGTCCACAATCTGAGTCGGTGGCAAACGCCCAATGCTCAACCAGGGAACGTCGTGTGTTCGGGGCATCAGTGGGTTTTCGGACCTTTGCCTTGGACTTAATTTTTGGATTTTGGGCTTAGTAGTTTGGGCCCATATTGGACTAAGGACTTTGAAGTTTTAGACTCCTAGTTAAACACTATATTTTGGGCCTAGGATTGTATATTGGGACTTAGTGGGCCCAATGGGCTTGGACTAATTTTAGGCCTTTTGGATATAGATTTGAATGTGGGCCTTGGCCCAATTTGGTTTGTGATTAATGGACTGAATCCGTGTGGTAGTTAGGCTAGGGTAGCCTTTATCAGTTAGACTCTTGGACGAAGTCTCGTGGTGAGACTAAGTGTGGGACAGTCAGTCTCAGTGGACTTTTAGGGATCCTATATCGCAACTTAGTAAAAGGTCATTTCGGCAGCAATGAGTAGTTAGGAATTCTGTTTTCCAGGGGTGTCAGCAAGATAAATCAGGATCAAAAGAGTTTCGTTCTGTTTGGGTTGAGAAATGGAGTCGTTGGATTGTGTCTTATAGTGGTTTTGTATGTCGGGAAGTCAGATAAAGTATTGGACTTTTGGATTTTGGGCAAAGTATAGATGGTTATTCTTTATTGGTTTAAGTGAGTGGGTCAATGATTCATTTGTCGTCAGGGTATATGAGTCCTGTTAAGTTTGGGTTTTGATTGTAACATTTGAGGGTCGCCGTATGTATGAGTCGACATGTAGCCTGAATCAGGGTTCGGGAAGTATTGGTTAGATCAGTTGGGCACCTGGAAAGTAGCAAGTAGTGATTTCGAGGACGAAATCCAATTTAAGTGGGGGAGAGTTGTAACATCAGGGTTCGAGAAGATTCTTATTTTAGAAATTATGGTCATTAAAGGGATCAAGTTATGGCCTTGGACTTCAATGGTTTGGGTTTTAGACCAAATTAGGAGTGGATTATATATGTTATGTGATTCTGGTTTGTGCTTTGGAGTCCAAGGGTATAATAGTATTGAATTAAGGGTTCTAGTTCAGAAGGTTTTGATTTAAAGGAGACTTGATGGAATTGTAGGAATTTTCATCACCTTTCCAATCATATAAAGAACTTCGAAAAAGAGGTTAGGATGATTAAGTTATGGGCATTAGAAGTTTGAATGGGGAAATGGTTTGGCATGTACACTGGTTGTACAAGGTATGTACATTAGGCGTAATTAGCTTAATTGATCACAAAAGTTCTGCTTAGTACGCTAGGTGTACACAAGGCATGATCAAACCCTAATTTTTGGGTCTTGGATCCTATTTAAAGACCTTAACTTATTGGAAACCCTTCTTATCTTCAACCTCCATCCTCTAAAGCAATTCTCTCGAAAACCCTGACCCAATTTGTGAGATTATTGAGCCTTTAAATGTTTTGGGGTGTTCTTGGTGCATCTTAGAGAAGAAGGATATCATAGGAGGAGTGTTGGTTGACTTGGAGCTTGTAGATCCAGACCTAGTTAACATTTATCTTTCTTCTAAAGGTATAAAGATTCAAAATTGATGGTTATTTGACGTAGATCTAGCCTTAGGTTATGTTATGAGCATGTTTTGGTCCCATGGTTTGGATCTTGTGAGTTGCAGTTATTCCATAACTTTTGAGCCCTATTTCTAGTCATTTTTAGGCCATTAATTCATAAAAATCAAATCTTGATGGGTATATCTCTTCCATGCATGAGTTAGTGGTCCTTTGGCAAAGTTATGAAGTTAGGGCTTTGGTTTGGACACCATTAAGCCATGCAAAGCCATAAAGTTAGGAACTTTATAACTTAAGACTTCCCTTAGAGTCAGATATGGGAGTTGGACTTTAAGTCTTAAGGTATTAAGAACTTGGAGTGGAGTTTGAGCAGCAACGACGTACGTTGGGCGTACCTTCCTGGTATGCTGCACGTAACGGGTTTCAGCCCATTACCTCTTATTCGAGCACGCAGTACGCTGGACATAAAATAGTGGTACACGGGGCGTACTTACCAGAAGCCATT